AACTAAGTAGATGTGGCAACTAAGTAGATGTGGCAACTAAGTAGATGTGGCAACTAAGTAGATGTGGCAACTAAGTAGATGTGGCAACTAAGTAGATGTGGCAACTAAGTAGATGTGGCAACTAAGTAGATGTGGCAACTAAGTAGATGTGGCAACTAAGTAGATGTGGCAACTAAGTAGATGTGGCAACTAAGTAGATGTGGCAACTAAGTAGATGTGGCAACTAAGTAGATGTGGCAACTAAGTAGATGTGGCAACTAAGTAGATGTGGCAACTAAGTAGATGTGGCAACTAAGTAGATGTGGCAACTAAGTAGATGTGGCAACTAAGTAGATGTGGCAACTAAGTAGATGTGGCAACTAAGTAGATGTGGCAACTAAGTAGATGTGGCAACTAAGTAGATGTGGCAACTAAGTAGATGTGGCAACTAAGTAGATGTGGCAACTAAGTAGATGTGGCAACTAAGTAGATGTGGCAACTAAGTAGATGTGGCAACTAAGTAGATGTGGCAACTAAGTAGATGTGGCAACTAAGTAGATGTGGCAACTAAGTAGATGTGGCAACTAAGTAGATGTGGCAACTAAGTAGATGTGGCAACTAAGTAGATGTGGCAACTAAGTAGATGTGGCAACTAAGTAGATGTGGCAACTAAGTAGATGTGGCAACTAAGTAGATGTGGCAACTAAGTAGATGTGGCAACTAAGTAGATGTGGCAACTAAGTAGATGTGGCAACTAAGTAGATGTGGCAACTAAGTAGATGTGGCAACTAAGTAGATGTGGCAACTAAGTAGATGTGGCAACTAAGTAGATGTGGCAACTAAGTAGATGTGGCAACTAAGTAGATGTGGCAACTAAGTAGATGTGGCAACTAAGTAGATGTGGCAACTAAGTACCGGTCATGCCCCCTTCTCAAACCCATTTAACTGTAAGGGGTATTGCCAGAGTATCAAATGGTTTTCATTAGCTTGTAATATTTGTGCACTTAAGTGCAAACTTCCTATTTGTCTTTCATATAGCACATTAATTTATAGTCTTGAATGAAATTTACCTGATGATCTTCCTCTTTCATGCATCTAGGGTGCCCACTTCTAGCTTTGTCTCTGGTGGATCCAGTTGCTTGGTGTCGCTGGATCTTTGATAGTCCCTCAGAGTTAAGTGTAATTATGATGTTACAAATGGTCTATGAGGTCCTCATTGCTAATATTGGCATGATACGAGGCCCTATCCAAATTGACTCCAAAACACTATTCGAACACATTATGAAGCTTCATCTGTTCCAAGTTTTGAAAACAGGTACCAACATTTCTTAATCAACACCTAGCGATAGTTTTGGTTTCTTCTACTCCTGAGTAAATATACATTCTTCTAATGCGTGTACCATGTGGTGCAGTAGTTGTGTTCTCGTCTAGTAATCTTGCTGACGCATTCAAATCCCGCACTGCCAGTGGATGGTAACCCTGACCATTCCTTGCACACATGAGGTAATTTAGAAGCAGATAAACAGACAGTCTGTTATACCAAACATATAATAACCATTGTTACAAATTGAATTAACTAAATTGTTTGATTTTATTATTTATTATTATGTATCAGGCTTTGAAAATGTATTGAAATGTACTTTTACTGACTATTAAAGAGCTTCTCCCAGCTCTGTCAAAGTAAAGAACTCTTTTTTGGACATAATTTTGGTGCAATTGACTCATTGATGGCTAAGCACTTGTGGGGCCATCTATTACTAAAGTGAACTCTGCGTTTTCTTGATGGCATTAGGATAAGGGGTATTAGTATCCTTTGATTTATTTTTTGTTTGATGTTGTTAAAGTCCTTTTTACAATTTTTTTTTTTATTATTGACATTCCTGCAATGGTAAAGTTTGGAGAAACATTATTAACGGGTGTGATAATAATAATAATAATTATAAAATAATGACAAGGATAACTGAAATGATGATAATGATAATGATAATAATAATGGTAGTGACAATAATAATGATAATGATAATAATAATGATAATGATAATAATAATAATGATAATAATAATGTAATAATAATAATAATAATGATAATGATATTAATATTAATATTAGTATTAATATTTATATTGTTAATAATAATAATGATAATAACAAAAATGATAATAGTAATAATAATAATGATAATAGTAATAATAATAATAATAATAATAATAATAATAATAATAATAGTAATAATAATATTAATAATGGTGATGATGATGATCATGATAATGATTATAATCATTATCAGTACTTATACACCCCATAAACAAAATATTCACTAAATTCTAACCTGCCTTCTCCTCCAACATAGACAACGTTTGCGGAGATGAAACAGAAGGAGATAGACAAACTGCACACGCGCTACCAACAGCTTGAGGAGGCACTGCAGGATGCACAGCGACAGTACAGTGGGCGGGAACAGGAGGAGCAGCAACGCTTGCGCGAACTCTCCGACTATCGCAAGCATCTCGACGTCCTGCTG